CTAGTGAAGATCAACTCATTAACTCCATTAGCAATTAGAGCAGCAATTTTTAGTCCATTAATGGACAGGAAGGTGCTATATACACTGTGCTCACAGCCCCCGTGTTTTATTGCAGTCCAGCTGAAGGACAGCTACGAATCCAGCACCTTCTTCTTCTTGGTGTTTGACCTGTAAGTACCAGCTCGCCCAGCACCACCTCCCCAAGCCCATACCCGCCCTGCAGATGGCCACCCGCCAACACTGGCCTCGGCTTTTTATTGCCCGCAAAGCGGAGGGGACAACCAGCTCTTGCTTAAGGTAGCAATGAGCCTCCATCACTGCCAGCCAAGCCAGCCCGCTGCGGCCTCGCCGCCGGCAGCGTTTCCCCCTCCGTCAGCGACTCAGCGCTGCTCAGGTTTCCCCGTAACCTTTGACGGGAGCTTTCACGTGCCCCCGGCGGGTTATTTATATGCCCAGCGGGACCAGGGCGCCCATGACGCCGCAACCCCTGATGCCGGAGCAGCGCGATGGACGTCAGCGGAGGGGGATGGCGATGGGAGAGCCGTTCCTCCTGATGTCTCGCAGCAAGAGAGAGGCGTTTTAACTCCTTTTTATTAACAAGTTGGCATGTCATCTCGTGCAATGGGTGCCCCGGGGCTGTTAAGGGGCAGTGACCCCTGGGCAATCCGCCCCGGGGGGTTAGGGGCCGGTTTGCCGCTGTAGCTCAGCCGCTGCCTGTGTCCGTTTTCCCTCCCGCACGCAGGATGAAGAGAGGGGAGCTCTTCGACTACCTCACCGAGAAAGTCACCTTGAGTGAGAAGGAAACCAGGTAAGGCCAGATGCGGAGGGCTGAACATGATGTTGCAAAAGCAGAGCGCGGGTTCGAAGGGCAGAACGGCACCCCAGGGTGCTGTGCCCATGCGCTCAGGGATGGGGCTGAGCTGTGCAGTCCCCATCCCCGTCCCCATCCCCGGGAGCGCGGTGCCCGTGGGCGTTCGGGCTAGGAGAGGTGCTGTCACCCATGCCCAGGAAGATCATGCGCGCGCTGCTGGAAGTGATCCAGTACCTCCACTCCATCAACATCGTCCACCGGGACCTGAAGCCGGAGAACATCCTCCTGGATGACGACATGAACATTAAGCTGACAGACTTCGGCTTCTCCTGCCAGCTGCGTGAGAACGAGAAGCTCAAAGGTAGGAGGACGGCGAGGCGGGGGCGATGCCGGGCTGCTCCGTGCCCACCCCGCTGCTGTAGTGTTCACGGGGAGTCGGTGGAGTCTCTCCAGCCCCACTGTCTCCTTGGGGCCAGTCTTGCTGCCGCGGGTGCACACTGGTGCCTGTCGGTTTGGGGTGCCCTCTCGCTCGCACACGAGCCCAGCTCTGCCTGCGGCACAGCCTCCGCACTGCGCTCCTTCCCATGAACAAGTTGCTGCCCGTTAGGAAAAATCATCCTGTTCTTTCTGCTTGTTTCCCCTCCAGCTGACCCTCGTTACCCCATCCATTCACTGCCCGATGTTAGGGTTGTTTTTTTTCCCCCACTCCCACCTTGTGAAGAGCTACATAATCAACGACGGGCATCCCCTCTGCCCCAGCATCCCCATCGCTCTCTTCACTTGCACTTCACCTATTATAACCCACCAAGAAAAGCCCCCAGCGAGGTGCACACCACTTGCAGTCACTCCCTTGCGAGCAGCATCACTGCAAAGATCCCACCTGGGATCCAGACCCCCTCACCGACTGCTCGGGGAGGGGTGGGGGGACACGGCACAAACCCTCCCGGGTGGCTCAGGGGGGATGCTGTGCCCCCTCTTCGCAGAGATCTGCGGCACCCCTGGCTACCTGGCCCCCGAGATCCTCCAGTGCTCCATGGACGACGAGCACCAAGGCTACGGGAAGGAGGTGGATATGTGAGTGTGACGCCGTCCTGCCCGCCTCACCCCACGGGCTGCTCCCAAAACACACGCGGCTCTGGGGCGCAGCGAGAGCCGTGCGGGTGGGGACCTGTTTGAGTGTTTGGAAGGAATTAAATGAGGCATGGAAAAACACCCCCGGGGGCCGTGCAGGGCTGTCCTGGTGAGCAGGGGGCTCTGGCACAGAGCTGGGGGAGAAGCAGCCCGGGGACGAGCCTGTCTCCCCGCTTTGCTCTGTCAGGGAAGAGGGAAAGCGAGACTTTCTGCTTATAAAAATCAACCTGGGCTGGACTCCAGGACTCGGGGCTTTTTCAACGCACCCCATAGCAAGACACAAGCCCAAGGCAGCCCCTGAGAGAGCAACCAGCTCAGGAAAGCCCATCAGAGCCCTGCAGGGACTTTGCCACCATCTCTGGTGACTTCAGGCTCAGAGCTGGGGTGGTCAGAGCTGTAACCAACCACTCGAAACACACCGGGGCACATCAGCCCCTTTTCAGTTTAAATACCTCCGTTAACTCACACGCCGGGACACTTCGCAGAGCACAGCCCGAGCTGAGGCAGCCCCAGAGCATCCAACCTCAATGGCATCGCCAGGTCCCACCACATCCCACCTTCCCATGTCCTCTCCCTCCCCTAAAAACCCCAAGAAAGGCAAATACCTCGACTCACAGCTTCCTCCTGCAGCATCCAGAACAGCTCAGACTCAAAAACCCCAACCCCCTCCCCAAAAGCAGAGCAGCCCCAGCTCCTTATTACCCATCAGGGCTAACGAGCTCAACCTCCCTCATCAGGCACCAGCCAGGGCCACCAGGGTGGCAAAGCCCAGCGTGTCTCAGTTGGGGGGAGGCCCCGAGCCACCCTTGGGGCGCAGACGTGGCCGGGTTCCCCCGGGGTGTCGCTGGGGGCTGGAGGGTCCTTCTGGGCTGCCCGCAGGTGGAGCACCGGGGTGATCATGTACACCTTGCTGGCCGGGTCACCTCCCTTCTGGCACCGCAAGCAGATGCTGATGCTGCGGATGATTATGAACGGGGACTACCAGTTTGGCTCCCCGGAGTGGGATGACCGCTCGGACACCGTCAAGGACCTGGTAGGTGCTCAGGGATGGGAAAACCTTTGCGGGGTGAAGGGGCTGCAGACATCTGGGATGCCCTGGGTTGACTCGGTGCCCTCATGCAGATCTCCCGGTTCCTGGTGGTGGACCCACAGCAGCGGTACACGGCCGGCGAGGCGCTGGCCCACCCCTTCTTCCAGCAGTACGATGTGGAGGAGGTTCGGCACTTCAGCCCCTTCCGGAAATTTAAGGTGAGGTTGGGTATGGGGGTGACCCAGCGCCCCGACTCCGAGAGTGGGAGCTGCAGGAGCTGAGTGGTGGGATGGGTTTCCCAGCTGAGCTGGGAGAAATTGGGAGTTCAAGGCGACTGATGGACCTGGGCTTTGGCAGGAGGGGTGGAGATCCTTCTCCAAGCACTATTGCACTTACTTTCTGGTGGTGCCTAAGGGCTTTTTCACAGAAGAGGATTAAATAAGGGAAAAGCCTGCCACCTCCTCAGAAAAAAAACCCAACATTAAAAAAGAAAAGATCACTTCTAAGGGGAAGTTGATAAGCCTGACGTCACACGGGTGAATCAAACGATGCCAAAGTTGATCAAACAGAGGAATCCTTTCCCTTCCCTATAGCCGGGCAGCTCAAAGGTACTCGAAGTGGCATTAGGTGACATATTTAGGACTGACCCGCGGTTTTGACATTAAGGGCGCACTCGGAAAAAGCCCGTACTGCTCCCGTGGGACTAAATCCCTACAGCAGGAACTGGGCTCCCCCCGCCTCCTCCGCAGGGACAGCAGCTTTGGGGCTGATCTGGTCCCGTTGTAGGACTGGCCACGAATTCCAGCCTGTCCCCCTGTGTCCCCCCCCCATGCTGCAGGTGATCTGCCTGACCGTCCTGGCGTCGGTCCGTATTTACTACCAGTACCGGCTGGTCAAGTCGGTCACCAGGGAGCTGGTGGTGCGGGACCCCTACGCCCTGAAACCCGTCCGTAAGCTGATCGACGCCTGCGCCTTCAGGACCTACCGGCACTGGGTGAAGAAGGGGGAGGCGCAGAACAGAGCCGCCCTCTTCGAGAACACCTGCAAGGCCATTTTGCTCACCCTGGCAGCCGAGGAAGGGCTGTTTTGATCGCCGCCGCGTAAGCCGATGAGTTGGCTCAGAGTTAAGGCGAGTAAAATCTTTGGAAAAAAACCCCAACCGGTGATTTCTTTTGCGTTTTCTTAAGAGATACGGCTGGCCCCGGGTCAGGTGGAAACGCAAACCCAGCAGACGGCTGCGATTCGCCCCTGGGGTACGTCCCGCTGTAAGGGATGGGTTTGGAGATGCTCCGTAACCAACTGCAGCTCCCGCTGTGCTCGGAGCAGCACGTCCGCTTGGGGAAGGCTCAGCTCAGCCCTGGAGCGGGACCCCTTCGGGGCAGTGGCGAGTGGAGGAGGGATGAGCAGTGCCCGGAGAGGTGTCCTCACCCACCCCTGTGCCCAGGGCTTTGGTGGCAGCGCTCGCGCACCACCGGTTTGTATCCCTCATGTCGGCTGTAACACCGGGGAGAGGCGGGTCACCGCCTCGTGGCGTCCGCGCACTCGGACACCAGCACACGTCTGGTTTTGCCGCTGTTTAAGGGTCAATAAAAGCGCCTTGGTTCACTTCTGGGAAGGCTCAGAAACTGGTACGAAGCTTCCCGAGGAGATGGAGACCGATGTATGAGTTCCCCCCACCACCTTCCAGGGCTGTGCCCCCATCGCTTCCCCTGGCAGCCACCCCTCATGGCAGCCCCGCGCCGGCAGTCACGGGGGGTGGGGGTGTTTGCACCCCTCTGCTTATTTAAAACGGACACCAACAGGAGAGCCGTAATATCTCCTACACCAGGAGGACACTACAGACAAACCACCCTGCCTGCCGTTCCCGGTCCCTGCTCGTGCCCAGACGTCCCAGTGCAGAAAGGAGTTTTAGCTGAAAGTATTTATTTTTAATGTTCAGAACCGTCTGGGTTTAATGCAAGTGACTGCTGGGGGTTACTGTTCGTCTCCACAGGAGAAAATGCCCTCAGGTCTTCCCGAGTGACCTCCTCAGAGCTCGGGTTTGGTCCGGCTTTTCTCGGCCGCGACGGGCGGGATGTCGGCAGCGCAGCGGAAGCTGAGGTTGTCGGAAGCCGAGTCCGGCGTGTTCCCCATTCTCACGGGGAAACGAGACGCAGAGTTAGGGATCCCACCTGCTCCACGCTCACATCCTTTAACGTGACCCTCTATAACAGACTAGAAACATCTTCCACTTCCCTGGAATCACTTCAAGGAAAGCATTTCATTCTAAATACGCAACGGAAAATACACATGGCAGAGGGGCTGGAACTAGATGATCTTTCAGGTCCCTTCCAGCCCAAATCATTCTATCATTCTATGACTTGAGAAGCAATTAGGAACGTGTCTATAGCAGGAAAATTTTTAGCAGTATTTGTAGTGTTGTTTTCCGAACTGCTTCTCAGAAAAATTGAGTAGGCGCAAACAAATGTCTTTTAAAATAAAACCCCCTTCCAAATAAAACCAAACCAGGAGAAATCGTGGCCAAACAGCACCTGGGGATTGCCCGGACCTACCTGGTAGTAACACGAGCTTTATGGTTCGCGGACCCATCTGCCGTGTCAATCCACGAGGCACCTCTCAGGACCTGCATTTTCTGAGCGCGCTGCCTCACCGAGAGCCCCCCAGTTGGGTACTGGGACGCGGTCCACTCCCAGGTGTTCCCCAGCAGGTCGTAGAGCCCTGAGACACGGAGGGGTTTGCATCAGGAGTATGACAGCAGGTTTGCAAAAGCACTTTGGATTACAGGAGCAGTGCACAACATTCAAAGCATCACGGCAAGAGCGTGGTTTAATGGTGAGTCTGGGAACCAGCAGCTCGTTGCTGTATTTCAAACTGGCACCAGTTTAAAACTGGACCTTTAACGCATCATATCATTTCCCACCTGCGTGAGGGCATGGCATCCGCTGCCCTCAACACAATGTGCTCGGGATTTTTGGGTAAATTGCACTGAAGTGCAAAGTAAGTGACTTCTAATTAGAAGCAGGGGCTGGTTTGGTGCGTTGAAGCGCCCCAGGTGTGCGTCAGCCAACATCAGCAACAACCACCGGTGCTCCTGCTGGGCTCGCTTATTCTAGCAAGATGCTGACGTGATCCCACATCATATCTGCAACTCTGCTACAACTACAGGATTTTATAATTCGGGTTCATTTAGGAAGCAGATGCCATTCCCCAAAACCAGGGCGCGGATGTCTGCTGCGTACCGTAGTTGTTCTGAGGAGGGAACGCTGCCACCGGCGAGACGCCGTGATAACCATCTTCAGCAGTGTCTGCCCTCGGGAAGTGGCCCTGTGGGAAGAAACATCATTCCGAGCAAAGACCCACCGCGGAGACGACACAAAGTCCTGCTCTTCGCAGAACCGCGTTACACTTAAATAACAGAAATAACGCTCCATCGTAAATTAACTCTACGCAGCATTTCTGGCTGAGAGAGGAGATCGACCATCTAAAGTTCTCCCAAAACAACCTGCTTTTCAAACAAATTTACGTATGAATTTTTGGTTATGTGTCAATTTGTGGAAGCACTGAAATCCCAGTTTCCCGGGGAAGCTGGGCTGAGGCTGCTCCCTCCATGCCTGTTTCGGATAATCCACCAGGAGCTGAATTTGGGTACCCTGCAGGTAAACCCGTGTTGCTTCCCAGGACCGCGCAGCCGGCTCGGGCAGCCACGCGCGCTCTGTGGTCGAGTTAAACGCCGCTCTCGGCAGAGCTAAGAGCAGACGGGATGATTTTTATGCTCTTCCCTGCCACAGGTTTGTACGGTTCGGCTGAAACTTGTTTCCCCAGGGATACACCCTTTCTGCCAGGGAGGAAGAGACACCCGTTACCCCCGTGTCAATCCAGCCTCTGCATTTGCCTATTTTTAATTGGGCTTTTATGACCGTCCTTTTCCGCTCAGCTCAGGGCACCGACGGGGGGTTACGTGAACGGGGATTGTCGGTCCGATCCCTACGGACACTGCCAAGTTGGTGAGGAGAGACGGGAATCGGCAACAGCTTCCCATTCCCAAACCATCGCTCGCGCCAGGGAGTCCCACGCTCCCCCCAGTGATCCCAACACCAATGTGGGATTGGTGACGCAGCACTCGGCAGTGGGGTCACTCCTTACCCCAAACCCATGAAATGATATTTTTAGCTGGAAGAAATGCTTCATTTGGGAAGATACGTTAAGACCACAGATAAGCCACTACTTCTTCCTATATTATTATTAATAATAATAATATTAATCTGACTCTCTGGCCAAAAGAGGTGGTTCAGCCCCCAGGTTAACCTCTGCAAACATCCCTGGGTGGAGGTTTGGATCCGGCAGAACTACCATTACTCGACGCCTGGGTTTGGAAAAAGGTCAGAGCTGGTGGTACGTACGCTCCAGTCCTCCCCTGGCAGCAAATTCCCACTCCTCCTCCGTTGGGAGCCTCTTCCCTTTCCAAGCGCAGAACGCCTGCGCGTCGTTCCAGCTCACGTGCAGCACCGGGTAGTCCAGTCTGTCCTTTATGCCGGAGCCAGGACCCGAGGGCTGGGAGGAATTGCATCGAACAGATTTTAATTGAGTTCATAAACTTTTCAATTAAAAAGGGACTAAAGGACGGAACAGGCCAAGGCAGGGAACGTGCAGCAACCAGAAATGCTATTTTTTCCCCTATTTTCAGTCGATAAGGTTCAGTGCACACTAACACATACACGCTCCCGGCACGGAGAGGACTCACAACACCCGATTTTTACCTACCTGTCGCCAAAAAGCCTTCTCGATGGGCAACCACCAAGGGGCAGACTGGGAAAAGAAATGACACCAGATTAAAGCTGAACTGGGAACACACATAAAAGTTGAAATGGGAACACCCTCCCCCCCCCCCCGCCCCCGACACTGTCCTACAGCATCATGAGTAAAGAGGAGCGCTTGTTAGTCTGGAACTGGTTAAAGGCTGCAGTTTGAGCTGGGTTATCACAGGCATTTTGATCGTGCTTTCCAACAGAATAGAGGCGTTTGCTTTCAAAAGTGAAAATAGATCAAGCAGCCCGTCCTGTTCAGTTTTTCTATTTTAAGATTTAATTAGTAAAGTACTTCAAAACGCGCTTTGCTCTCTCCCAACGCACCAGAGCATCTCCCAAGTCCAGTCCAACAGCGTTTGGAGAGGATGTGAACAGAGGAGCGCCATAAAATAACCCAGGCTCAACCCTGCTGTTTGTTTCGAAAGCAAAACAACCCAAGACTAAAGAAAAACCCACCGAGAACGGCCACGCTCTGCATTGAGAGGCAGATGCTACTCAGCAGAAAAGCAATACCGGCAAGGGTCTCCCAAGGGTCTCCCCTCCTGTTTTGTTTTTTTTTTTTTACTTAAAACAGAGAGGTCAGACAGGGATGCGATCGGAAATACCATCTCCATCATCACCACTGAAGACTCACCCCCAGGGGATTTAGATTTACCTCCAGTTTTTGCGTGACTTTTTTTTTCAGCTCTTCAGATACGAAATCCTCAAAGACAAAGCTCCAGCCAAACGCTTCTGCTTCTGTTTTGTATTTCTTTTCTCTAACAAACTCCCTGGCATAAATACAACACGCTCAGGCGTCTGGGTGAGAGGTCTTCAAGAGCCGCGCCACCAAATACAGCAATCTGCACACGCGACAAGTTCAGAGGAAGGCAAAACGTACCCGACCTACAGACACCCCATCTGCCGAGAGTCCCGGCACTGCTCCGCTCGCTGTGACGTAGATTTAACACATAAACCAGTCCAATTTGTGTCCTTTCACAGAGCCGATTGACAGGTTTTGTTACCCCTGCAGGTAAACTCACCCCACGCTCCCGTCTTCCATAAAAACGTAACAATCGCACAGATCCAAAATTCCCCCAAACGCCACTAAAACCTACGGCTCCTGTTAGTTAAACATCCCCAAAATGCAAAAAAAAAGTCACAAACTGCTGAATCATCTCCCCCTGCTTCTGTCCCGTTTGTTTCCCTGTTGCCCAAGGTGTACTAATTGCTGTTACTGGGTGTTACTGGGCAGTTACTGGTGGGTGGAAGTGTTGGCTCTTTTTAACCAACAAGGGCTCAGCCGGGCAAATACCGGCGTTTCCCCCGGAGCATTGATTAGTGCTCTGTACGGGGGCTCCTGTACAATACACCGGGGGGGGGGCGGTGTTTACAAATGGAAACGGGACCTACAGGAACCCGGAATCTGGAGCAGCACAGTCCTATTGGTAAGAAAAAGACACACACACATGAAAAAGCATATTTGCAAGGGGAAAAGGGGGGAGAGAGGGGGGAAAAAGG